GGATCCGCTGGATGTGGAACCTGCCGGGGGGGGGGGGGGGGGACGAGAGGATGGAGCCCATCCGGCTGAGCGGCTCCCAGCATGTGTATGGACCGGTCCCTGAAATAGACCCGTGCCGCGGGGCACAGAGGCGGATATTCCCGGTGCATGGCGGCCACGACGGAGCCCACGCAGGCCCCGGTAGGAAGGAAGAACGAAAGGCCGGCTGAAACACCGGCCGCCTCTGGGCCTGCTCCATGCTCCCCCTGGGCGGCTGAGGCTGCGGGGGCGCTCTCGCGCGTGCCTGCGAACACGTCTCTCCATCCATGGCGGCGGCCGGCTAGCCACACGCACACACACACACACACACAGACACAGACATACATGCATGCGCGCGCGCGGACATCGGCACTGAAGAATGTGTGTGCGAACACAGCGCCGGGCCGGGGAACACCGGCACCGGCGGGTGTCAGCCGGGCAGATGAGGCCAGGGCAGCGTGGCAAGACCTTGCGCATTGGCAGTCCAAAGGGCAGGAAGACACACCCTCACCGCGCCTGCATGCCCAGGCGTGTGCCCCCCCCCCCGCTCCCCTGATGGTGTGGGGGGTCTAGAATTCGGCCGGTTCGCTGGGGAGTCCGGCCGTCGGGCTCTCCTGGGAAAGGGCCTGGGATGTTCCCCCCCCCGGGCTTCCCCCTCGCACCCTGCGCCCTCCCTGTGCCCCCGTCCGGCCCGGTGCCTGGCATTTTCAGATCACCCGGCAGCGCGCCGGCAACCGGCGTCTGCAGCCGATTGTTTACTTCGACCCGTTTCAGGCCCGCCCCCACGAATGCCTCGCACATCCGAGGACCGATCCTTGGGCGGGAGAAAGCCACCCCGGCCCGGTGTTCAACCCTCCCAGCGCCTCTGCATACCGGAGGCGGCGGGAGGGGGGGGGGGGGGAATACACACACATGTTCAGCGACACACCCGCGGCAACCTTCGCCCGTTGGCATCATAGGGGGTATTTGTTTTTCCCCCCATCCACCTGGGCAGGCCGGCATAGAGGGCCGGGAGCCGGGCCCCGCCCCCGCGCCGGAAGCCCTCGAGGCACGGCGGGGCCCGAAGAAGCGACGCGATGCCCAACAGCCGGGAAGGGGGTCTCGCGTAGGCAACACATTGATCCCCTCGCCGCCCCGCCCGAACCTCCTCGCCCAGAGCCAGCTACGGGATCATTGCAAGACGGATCGCCTAGATGGTTTTCCGCCACCGCCCACGCACACATCAGCCTCGATTCCCCGGCATACAATCTCCTTTCCTCCCCCCCCCCCCTGCCCCCACCACCACCACCACCACCACCACACGCACGCACGCACCCACGCACGCACGCACCCACACAGGCACCCACATTCGTACACATCGGCCCAGACGCGGGAGCTGTTGGGGACCCCGGACCGCTGGTACATCGCCCTGCCCATCACCACCCCCAGATACCCGCCCTGGTCTCACCTCCTCGTAGATCTCGGCACACTATGAGCGGTCTTCATTCTCGACACCCCGGCGGTGGTCCCCTGCCTCCTGCCATCGCCCAGCCAGCCGGTCCTCCCGGGCTGTCGATCTCCCTGCACGGCATCTCGCATGACTTGACCGCGCCGATGGACTCCTTCTCCGCGGCCGAGACCAGTGCCGCCGTCGAGGGCTTCTCCCAGCACCACCACCACCATCACCACCACCACCACCACCACCGGATGTCGGCCTCGCTGGATGTCTACGTGCACCAGCTGAGCTTTGCTGCCCTCTTCCCGAACTCCGCGCGCCTGGTCACCCCGGAGCCTGGCCGCCGGTCGGTCCTGACGTCGCCTCTTTCCTCGCGATCATCGACCACCACTGCCGGCGGCGGCGCCGGCGGCGGCGGGATCCACACGTATCAGCTCCACTCGGCCTCGCAGCATCTGCACTCCCTGCACTCGGCCTCGCAACACCTGTTCCATCAGCCCCACGCCCACTGGGCCGGGGACCTCCTGGCCAAGCCAGGACCGTCGCTGCTGACCCCGGTCCCGGGCTTCCCCCATAGCGGCGGCGGCGGCGGCGGCGGCGGTCCGCCTCTAAGTGCTGGGGCCTCCGGCGGGACGCCACTGAGTGCGGGCGGCCTGCACCTGCCCGGACTCCTGCCCGCCGGCCCCACGACCCTGGTCACCTGGCCCTCGGCCGGAGCGGCCAATGGCGGCGCTCCGCGCATGCCGCATGTGTCCCTCCCGGCGTCCGGCAACTTTCAAGAGCTGTTCGACCTGCTGACCAGCTCCAGCCAGCCAACATCTGCCCTCTTCTCAGACGACAGTCCGCCCGGGGGGACGGCCACTCGGCCTGCCAAGGCCCCGGCTCCCTCCCGGGCCAATGCCACCGAGCGCTCTCCCTCTCCCGCCGGCTCGGACCCGGCATCGCCCGAGGACGGTGGCGGGTCGGATGATTCCCCCGAGCCGGATGACGAATCCTCGATCCCCTCATCGCCGGCCACACTGTCCGGCACGGGGGGCTCCCTCGGCGAGTCGATCGCCTCCACCACGCAACGCATCTTCGAGGAAATCGACCAGCTGATGTCGCCGCCGGTCCCGCGGCCGCCGCCCATTTCGCTGGTCGGCGAGTCGGACCAGTTCCCCATCTACCTGGAGCGGGCAGACGGCACACTCTGCTCTGTTCCGCTTTCGGCCCGGCTCCGGCACTTTGGCCTCGGCCTGGCCCCCCTCTCCATCCCGGCCGAATATCCACTTGACAGCCACCCTCCCTCGGCACAGCCACTGTGGTCCGCTGGAGGGGGCTATGGACTGCCGGCCTCGCGGCCGCCCTCGGCCCCGCCGTCGGCCGGCTTCCGCTTCCCCATCAGTCCGGCGGCACCCCCGGGCAGCCACCCGGGGCACCGGCCATCGGGCCCGGCACCTCCGCCCCCGAGGATCCAGGTTGATCCACTGCCTGTCGGGCCCTCCGGCCGGCATAATGCCCCCGGCCCTGTGATTATCATTCCCCCTTCACCCGGCGCCACCCATGGCTCGGCACAGATGCTCCCCTCTTTGCCAATGCTCGCGCGCGTGGATGCCCCTTCCAGCGGGGGTGCGCCCTTGCACAACACCGGCCCAGGGAGCATCCAACTTTTCACCACATCCCCCTCCCCGGCACCTCTGCCCATGGGGCTGGCTCTGCCAGTGACCGCCGATCTACAGCACCTCCCGCAAATGTACGTGGCTAGCGGCAGTGGCGGCAGCAGCAGCAGCAGCAGCAGCGGTGCCAGTGGCAGTGGCAGCGCCGTCGGGATGGAGTGCCGATCGCGGGCCAGCGGCTGGCCTGGCCTGCTTCCCGGTACCTCTGCCATGGCCAGCGGAGGATCGACCCTCCATTCGCCCGTGGACGATGATCCGGTTAAGCGCAATCTGGCCTTTTTGTCACGCAGTATGGCCAGCGGCCGGGCTTTCCTCCCCACAGGCTTTGTTTCTTCGCTGGAGAACACGCCCCAACCACAGCCCCTGGGGCCGCTTGGGTTCCTGCATCCGGGCGCAGATGGGCATGATCTCCAGCAGCCGCTGCTGAGCAATGCCGGGCTTCTGACGCTCATAAGCACCCCGGGCCCTGGATCAGCTCCCGTCTCGCCCATTTCACTGTCAGGATACCACCCCTCCCATCAGCAACATCAGCAACAATATGGTCCCCCTCTCCCGCGGACAGGTGTGGCTGCGGTTTCCTCTTCACAATATCCCTCGCCCGGGCCGCCCAACGGCTCGGGCAGCTTCCCGCCCCCCTCACCGGGGGCCGTCGCAAGCTTCGGCGGTCTTCATTCGTCCGCCCGTGCTCCTGTATCTCCAGCGCCAGTGCTCAGCCCGCTGTCGATGGACTACTCTGGCCGAGCGGTCCTCCTGCCGGGCGCGCATTCGGTGGCTGATGTGGCAAGCAACCTGCGCCTGCTCGACAGCGTGACCGACTTGGGGCTCCGGCGGCCAGGTGGTACCGGGCCTCGCCCCGGGCATCCACCACAGCCAGGCAGTGCTGGTGGCTTTGTACGAGCCCCGCACTCAGCTGGAGGGCAAGCTCCTTTGTCTGCTGGCGGACATGCACCCCACTCGGCCGGCATGCAGGCCCCCCACTCGGCCGGCATGCAGGCTCCCCACTCGGCCGGTATGCAGGCTCCCCACTCGGCCGGCATGCAGGCTCCCCACTCGGCCGGCATGCAGGCTCCCCACTCGGCCGGCATGCAGGCTCCCCACTCGGCCGGGATGCAGGCTCCCCACTCGGCCGGCATGCAGGCTCCCCACTCGGCCGGCATGCAGGCTCCCCACTCGGCCGGCATGCAGGCTCCCCACTCGGCCGGCGGCATGCATACGCCCTTCTCGGCTGGCGGCTCACACACCCCCTACTCGGCCGGCGGCATGCACGCATCCTCATCGCCGGCCAACGCGCAGATCCCACGCAAACGTAAGAACCAGCCGGATAGCCCAGAAACGCAGCAGCTCCGGAGGGAGCGTCGCCGTCAGGCCTGCCGCGAAGCGGCAGCCCGGTCGCGACAGCGGACAAAGCTCGCCCGTGAGCAACGCATCCATGATCTCGAAGTGGCCAAGGACCGACATGCGGCCCTCCAGTCAGACATCGCCGCACTGCAGGACTACCTGGCACAGGTGAAACAGTGGCTTCTCCAGCACCGGGATTGCATCGTGGGCACCGTGGATACGGTCATCTGCGAGCCACTTGAACCGGTGGCAGTGGGCGCTGGCTCAAGCTCGGGCGGGATCGCCGACCCCGGGCACAACGCGCTCCATCATCCTCCCAAGCGCCCACATCTCAGCACACCAGTCAGCGCGGGACCCGGCGCCGCTAGCGTGCCTAGCACTCGTCCAACTGGCCCCGGCACATAGAAAGCCCGAAGTGTACCTCCCTCCCGTGTACCAACACGAACCAACACCACACGCATGCGCCCGAGCCACATGCCACCCCCTTGGAAGGGCCTCCCCCCCCCCCCCCTGCAAGGGAAGGAAGCGCCAGAAGGCAGGGGGCGGGGAGGGGGACAGGAGGGAGAGAGGACGGGCGAGGGTCTTTCCCGGGGGCACCCTTTTGGCTTTCACAGTGAGAAGCAGGGCGGTCGATGTGCTTTCCGTCTCTTATCCCCTGGGAGATGCCGGACTGGCTCGTGCCTGCGAACGGGCAGGGACGCGACGAAAGGGGCCTGGGACGGGGAGAAGCCGGCGGCGCCGCCGCCAGCAGCTCGAACGCGAGGATAGCCTCGCAGATGGGAGGCGAATGTGGGTGGTAATTGGATCTGGATCATGTGATTGCACGGGGTGACGGCGGTAACTGGGATGTTAAGCCGGCGCGTCTTGCGGCGCTTCTCCTGTGCGCTTGGCAGGCATGTGGATGTGTGCCTCGCGCGATGAATTGGCGCCGGACGATGTGCCAACGCATTTGCTGCTATGTATGACAGCTTTTTTGCACGACAAGCGCCAGGGCTTTGCCTGCCTCCGGGAAGAGGAGGGCAGGGTAGAGCGCCTCCCCGCTGGGTTGTTGGAGGAGGGGAGCGGCGGCGCCATAAACAGGCGCACCCACGTACATGTACATATATACCCCGCAATGAGGACGCTCCAGTAGGAGCAGACAGGGCTCCGCGCGACGGGGGAGGGGAGGAATGTCCGCCACCGCGCATAATCCCCCGCCCGCCCATAGGCCGCCAGGAGGGGGAGAATTGACGCCCAGCCCCGTGCGCGGCGCGAGGCGGAGAGCAAGTCATGGTGAGGGGCCACAACAAAATACGAACTTGGGCGCGAGCATACACACACACACACACACACACACACGCGAGCCAGCCGCGCGCCCCCCCTCTAGCCACAGAATGACATATGAGACACGGTGAACAGGACACACAGAGAGAGAGATGGATATTGGGTGTTGGTATTGTCATCAGAGAGAAGGTGCCCGAAAGCAGCGTGCGCGCGCGAGATCGCCGCGCCCAGCCCACCCTCAGCAAGGGGGGGAGAGGAGGGGGAGGGAGGGGGGCGGCGGGCGACACACAGACACACACACACACATACACAAAAAGCAAACGCACGGGCGGGCGCGCGCGCGCGCGCGCAAGCGCAATTGGGATAAGGAAAGTGCCTTCTTCTATACTACTATATGGAGAGTTGCACCTCCCACGACTGAAGCTGGGACATATGTTGCCGTGCGCGACGCCGGAGGGAGAGAGTGAGAGGAAGTGGGAAGGAGACGCGACACGACAGATCCCCCTCCCCCCTTCTCGAGGGCCCCCCCCCCTGCTCCGGCTACAAGGACAGACACACCCCGACGCACAGAGCCCCAGAGCATGTGCGCATTGCGATCAGATATGTATGAAGGAGCGCGCGCGCGCACACACCCGGACTGGCAGCCAGCGGGGCGGCGATAGCTTGCAGAGGAGGGAGGGGGAGGAAGAAAGAAGGAGAGAAAGGGGATGCACACACACACACACACGCATGTATGGATGCGCGCGGCGGGAGACACGCGGACACGACAGCACCCTGCCCTCGGCGCCTGCCCCCCGGACCCACCCGTCTCTCTCAGAGCTCCGCGCCCCCCCCCAGGGAGCCTCCCTGTCAGCAGGGAGGGGGGGGACGACGAACGAGAGAAGGGGGCGGAGGAGAGGGAGGGAAAGGGGCGGAGGTGTGCGCACTTAGTGGAGGGAGGGGAAGAGCTCCTCATCCTTGAGGTTGACCGAGGCGGGGTTGGAAGCATGGTTGCCGTGCTTCTTGCCGTGGGTCGGGCGCTCGGGGGTGTAGGTGGGGGCACCGAAGTCGAGGACGACGGACTTGGCCTGGGTCTTCTTCTTGGGGGCGGCCTCGGCCTTGGGGGCGGCCTCGGTCTTCAGGATGGAGGACTTGAGGACGGTGACGTCGCCGAGCTTGGAGCCCTGGTTGGCCTTGCGGGCGGGGGCAACCTCGTAGGTGGGCTTGGCAAGGGTGGCCTTGAAGTCGTCAAGGGTGAGGGAGTCGTCGACCTCCTCCTCCTTGGGCTTGGCAACCTCCTCGGTGGCGGGGACCTCGGCGGTGGCATCAGCAGCGTCGGCAGCGGGAGTCTCGCCAGCGGCGGTCTTCTCCATGTCGACGTTGCCCCAGTTGCCCTTACCGTGGGTCATGGACTTCTGGGACTGGCTGTGAACGGGCACGCGCGCGGGCGGGAAAACACCGGGGGCCGAGAGAGAGAGAGCGAGAGATGTGCGTACAGGAAGGGAGGTTGGTCGTTGGTCAGCACACACAAAAGCAAAGGGGAAGGCGTATGTGCGCGTGCCAGGGGGCGACGTACTGGCGGGGGGCGGAGTGGCGATCGAACTCACGGCCACCGCGAGCAACCTGACCAGCGCTGAGGGAGAAGGGGAGAGAGAGGGGGAGGAAACAGGACCATGCATGTGTCAGTCACCAGAAGGCGGCGCGCGCGCGGACGGAAAAAAAAGGCGAGCGGAGGGCGGGCGATTGAGGGGAATACACACCGGTTGTTGGTGCGGCGGGCGGGGTCGCGGTTGGCACGGGGGGGGCGCTCACCGAGCTGAGCGTTGATCTCGCCCTCAGCGGCGGTGGACTTGGGGGCGCGGGCTGTGGTGCGTGCGAGCGACGACCCCGCGCGTGAGTCGGAGGAGGAGAGAGGAGAAGGGAGCCACAAAGCAGGCAGGTTAGCGGGCATGTTTTGGCGGGAAAAAAGGCGATACGTTCCCCCCCCCGGCCAGCTGGGGAAGACGAATACAACGGATGCAAGAACGCAAAGTGGCATCCGAACGAGAAAGGATCAGCCCTTCCCCGGCCGGAACACCACGAAACGCGGCCCGCCCCCGGGGTGCGGACTCGACGCCCCCGCGTGCATGAGCGTCCCCCCGCGGACAGCGTCCACCATCGCCACCTGGAGCTTGACATGTGTGCCTAGGACAATGACAGTGACAAAGCCACGCAGGAGAGTTCACGACAGGTGGTGGTCATTGCGGAAATGCCCGGGCGCAGCGGCGGAAGTGAAGAGGAGGGGGCAAAAGAGGCATGCCGGAAATGAGGGAACAACAGCACGCCGCAGAGGCGAGGGAGAGGGGAGGACGTACGGGCGCCAGTGCGGGGGCCGGAGGCGCGGTTGCCACGGGGCTTGGGGGCAGCAGCCGGGGCAGCCTCGACGGCGGGAGCAGCCTTAGGAGCGGGCTTCGCGGCGAAGGAGCCGGAGTCATCGCTAAGGAGAGCGAAGCGGTTGGCGGCGAAATGGGACATGGTGCCTGTCACTCACTCGCAACGACGACCTTGCCAAAAAGAGAAAGGCGAAGGAAGAAGAAGACCAAAAAGGGTTCAACTATGCTACGACGCAGCAAGGGGGATTTAGGCCATCCTCCATGGCGGCATTTAGAGACTACCACATAAAAGAAGAATGGGCCAATCCCGCGCGCATCGTCCTCCGCGCCGGGGAGCGACGCGCGCGCGCGCGCGCGCACGCACACACACGCACACACACACGCTAGGTGCAGCCGGGCCAGGGGCTGCCTGCCCGCGGTCGGGCCCCGGGTAGCACCGGCAAGCGCACCGAGCAGTGTCAGGGGAAGAAGGGGCCGGAGGGCGCGCGAGGCCCACACAAACAGCCCCGCCCTCCTTCCTTGCCGTGGTGGCCGCCCTCCGCCTCCCACGCACGCGTCGCCCCCCCCCCCCCCCCCCCCCCCCCCCCCCCCCCCC